AACATCCAGAAAGGATCAACCCTGCACTTGGTTCTTCGCCTCCGAGGTGGTTTCTGAAGAGCCCACCTCAAACTTCAGAGCACCAGCATACGTTTTTAATGTGTACCTGTTAAATTAGATGTGTCATTTATTTTTTATTATCTGCTTGACTGAATTTGCTTTCAGTCATAATTTAGTTTCTCTTAATGAACAGATGATTTGCAATGATTGATTTAAAAAAATTAATACACTTAATAAATATCTTAATCAGTAAATATATCTTTGTTATTTTTAATCTTCATATAAAGATGTTTTCTCTCTTTTGTATTAAAGGTTGTAAACATTCTCATAATCCTGCTGTTAATAAATCTTAACAATCAAACTAAGTACTTCACATTTTATTTTAATATTTGTGTTAACTATACAGGTACTCCATAGACTAAAACTAAAACATACATAAAACTATGTGAAAAAGACATAATCTTCTGGATTGTTATGCTGTGTCATCTAGTAGAAGTTTTTCGATGTTTCAGGGGTCTTCACTGCCTCCATCATCAGAGCAGTGAGTGATGATGAGGCAGCAAAGACCTCTGAAATGTTGGTAAACTTTTACAAGACTACATGGTAGAATATCCTAGAAGACAAGCAACTTTAGACTTACTGCCATGAAAATCTCAAATCCTACTAAGACAAAACTTTGTTTCATCCAGTTTTTATAAATTGGAATTATCTCGGAACACAATGTCCTATGCTTGCTTGTAGTAGTTTTGCTGGAATTAAATGCGGAACAGATTTACAATATTTCAGAGACAGTTTCACTGTGTAAGGTGGAGAAAGTGTATGAAAGACAACAAGTACGGATGTTTGTAAATCGTCACAATTCCAGTGCACTTACTAGGATATTTACTCTAGATTCTCTAATACGTGTTAAATGTTTCATTACAACTTTCGCTTGAAACATATTTAGCTCTCATAATTATTCGTGCTACAGATATGTTCTGCAATGCATGTTGGTATTTATGTAATGTGTGCATCATTCTCTATTTCAACTATAAGTACAATGTACATATGAACAAACATTAGTGAAACTGCCTAAGACACCAACTTAGAAAACAGGGCGTCCATTCAGCTTCTTTTTCCGCCATCCAAATGCTGCATGGATTTTGGTGCTATTCCATCCAATCTCATGTATTACGTAAAAAAGGAGTTGACCTTGACCGACCGCTAATAAACCTGCTTAATATCAGATTCTGCTCTAGTTGTTAAAATTGTATGGATAGGAATAGCGTAGGAGATCCAAACTTAAAGATCACAATTATGCAACTTCTTGCAGACATGCAATAGATATGTTTAATATATAAATACTATTCACTGAGATTAATGAATTTGTATTTCAACAAGCCACTGTTTCCTTATTCAGCACAAAAATACTCAATGAATATTTGTTATGCCCTTAAAGTGACAGAACCTCATCTTGGGACGGAGTTGTGCTACACAAAACACGGCTGCATCTTGTGTAAGAGTTAATGTCTAGTAAGAGACAGGAATTTACAGTTCAACAGTGGCACATTATATAAAATGTGTTGTATGGAAATTCAATTAATTTTCGAAGAATTTATTCTAAAAAAAATTGAAGATGCACTTCACCTGAGCCGGTCCTGGAAGAATCTTATTTACACACTCCGAGGACTACGAGAGCGAGCAAAATGGCGCCGCCAGAACCAACCGGACCACTAAAATTTGACATTCTCTCTTCTGATACACACGCACATAATTTGAACCTCTAAAGACAGAAGGGGCACACCTTTCTCCCCCTCTCCCACTCTCGCCCATATGCTATCATTGGTCCACTCCCATGCCTGCTCCCATTGGCTCGGGGCTGGCTACACCTTTCACTTTCCGGCCTACAAACCTAGCACCTCGCACACTATTGGCAGATCTCCCACGACGCGCGGTAACCTTTCTCACGAAAGTGTTCAACGCGGTTCTCCGCAGGCAGCACTTCCCCTCGGCATGGAAACACGCTCGCGTGGTGTCCATACTGAAACCGGGGAAGGACCCCACGCTACCTTCTTCCTATAGACCCATCAGTCTTCTCGACACGGTAGGCAAGCTCTGCGAGAAGATCCTTCTAACGAGGGTCCTACACGAGGTCAGCGAACGCGGGCTGCTGCGCGACGAGCAGTTTGGGTTTCGACCCAGACACAGCACGTCGCTGCAGCTGGCTCGCCTCGTCGAAAGGGTCAACAGAAACCTTGATGAGAAGCGGCTAACCGGGGCGGTTTTCCTGGACGTGGCCAAAGCCTTCGACACAGTCTGGATCCAAGGCCTCCTATACAAGCTGACCGTCCTCAACTTCCCGTCGTACTTGGTGAAAACCATCTCTTCCTACCTCGCTGACCGGACATTCCAGACGTC